TTTGTAATTACATATTTCATTCTCTGATGTGAAACCGCGTGGGTGCGTATCATAGATAATATTTCAAGAAGAGACACTTCCAAGAATCGGGGATGACCGACGGCCATATATTTAAATTCATTACTGTAACACGTTTTTGCTAAAATAAATTGACGACAATGAAGAAACAAAGCGTACGAGAAGAGTTTTTATACAATTCGTCAAATTGAAATAATTAACGGGGAATAGAAAGGAGAACTAAAAGTGATTCCGCTAAACGGTACCGCGTGCACCCAACGCGAATGAAACCGTGAAGGGAAACTCGTTCCCGCGGTTTAAATCTCCGAGACGCGTCTAATTACGAGGCGGCGCACACGGAAAGGGATTAAAACGTAAACGTCAAAACCGTGATAGGGAGGAGGGGGCACCGTACGTGTATATCTCTGCTGGGCCGCGAACTCTTTACACACAATTACGCGTGTACCAGGTGAACCGGGCACGGTGCGACGGTAGAAATATTGCACCGCGGAGAACGTCGTCCTCGCCGTCGCCTCGGTTGGTGCATGTATGCATGCGCAGCTCACCGGCGGTAATATCGCCAATGCGAACAGCTGCCAGAGTAGAGAGGATAGGTCGAGATTAGTTCCGATTGCCTGTGCCGCGCGGAGTTATAGAAGGGTTGCCCGGCTCCGGCCAGGCATCGATCCCGACTACCGGCTTCTGCCCGTTAATGAGTCATGTTTAATTGGCGTGGGAAGCCCGCGGCTACGTCCACGTAACGGAATTGAACTGTACCCGATGCTTCTAAAGCTGCTTTCAACAACGTAAATATACCGGCGCTCGGTGACCAACGGCGACTGACCTTATATACTCACGATGGCAAATTCAACGAAAGAATGCTTAATGAGCAGCAAATCACGATTGGTTAATCGATTCCTCGCAAAATTTCCTCTTTATTTTCAACGAAAGGGAGAGGAAGAACTGTAAAATTGGATACCATATAATTTTGTACATTTGTACGTTTTTTATATTTATCTATGTTTATGATAAGGGTATTCCCATCCCCTTGACCTATCACAACTATGACTCTCGTCAAATCTAAATCAGAAGGAAAGGCTTAGATATCTAAATAAATATAAAAATAAATGACGTACATTAAATCCGGAAGCTTAAACCGGACATAGCCAGACTGGAATTCGTTTAACGCGAGAAGCTACAGTTTCACGGGCACTCACGGTCAAATCAGGATTTCTCAGTCCGCAACGATTCAGAGCTCACGGTATTCACGAGCCTCGGCCACGAAGCACACGACAATGACAGCGACGACGACGTGGACGAGGACGACGAGTTAGAAGCGTTGTCGCCGCGGCAGATGGTACGCGACAGGCCATTCCGAAGGATTACTGTTACGCGCGAGTACCTCGAACAGACTCTGTTAGGCAGGTCCATACCGTACACCGGTATGCAAATAAATGGCACCGGGCTGAACGCGTTTAAAAAAATCGTCGACGACGGTGCAACGATGCCGTGCGACGGGAACGCGTGCTACGGTCCATTGTCTTCGAGTCTAATCACGAGCGGGCGCGTGCATTTACGAGCCACCGGTTAGACGGACGCGTAGCCTCCGGAGAAAGACTACCTTTTGCTCGGGGAAGGCGGTTCTCGTATTCTCGGCGTTACCGCGCCGCGTAGCAATATGCATCGCGAATACCAACACCAGTCACACCCATCATAGAGCCCGACCCTGTGGGTGGCGCCACGTACTCGCGAATAAGTCCTACGAATAAGTCGTAATGCCATCATCCTGCGCTGCGTCTAACAGCGTCGCGAGGCCTATGAATATTCTCGCGCAGGTAGACATAATACGCTCTTTGTGCAGCTCCCTTTGTACATACCTCGTAAGCTATGCGCCGATTTTCCGAGCACGAGAGGACGACCACCTTCATTGTAGCATTCGTAAAAATTCACGAGGGAATAAAATGGAATTATAAATTATCCTCTATAGCAAATTTTACGAATGATCGAAAATCTTAATAAATAAGAAATAAAGAGGGGAATAAGCTAATCGTACGATACGGCACGAAGTGAATAAATTATTACATTACACGGTGCGCAGAGTGATTAATAAAAAAAAAAAGAAAATGATGTTAATACCTTTATCTTCCCTCGCGCTTTATCCGCGATTTGTTCATTTCCGTTTATCCCATAAACGCTTTAACTGCGACGATTATCGTAAATCAACCGCGACGCAGCTGCGCGATTCACGGCGGGACGCGTTAAAACGGAAAAAGGTGGGGTATGAATGAAATCGCGGCAAGAAAGTGTCAAGGTATCTCGTAGCCAGGTTCATTGGTGCGGTTCGAGTCCTTGTACGATCACGTACCTAAATCGACACCTCGGCTCGCGCACGGTCTCACCGCTAATCGTCTTTCCGGGAGTGACGTGCCGACATACCGCGGTTCTTGCTAACAACCCTGACGGTCCCTATTAGTAGCCCATATATACGAGTTGCACCGGACCAGAGAGGTCTGCCGCGTCGAGACACACGGAGGCCGACAACGTTACGATTCGGGTGCCATCACGTACCGCACGGGAATCGAGCGGGTTTCCATTCGCGGTCAGTCGACACGCGCTTCTCGGTTCGAGACCGATCACTGACTCGAGTCTAAAACCTGCCGCGTAAACAAATGACGGCGAACCGGTTGATTATTGACCTAGGCGGAAAGGAAAAAAATCGCAGCATTGCGTTTTGTGGGAAGATTCGAGTGCAACGCGCGAACTGAATTTAAACCGTAACGGTGCTGTTTATACAAGGTTGCAAGTTCTCGTGGGAGAGAACGCGAATTATGCATGTGTGCGTCTCGGGAAAACGGAGGCGTAATTAGCGCGATGAGCATCACGCGTTGAGAAAATTCTAAGATATTACTACGAGTTTACGGTGCCATGAACCGAATTAAAGAACAGTCTCGTGCTCTCAGCGGTCTCATTAAACACGTTCGTTTCGTTTAAATGCAATTAGTTTACTGTGAGATTGAAAACAAATAGTATATTTAAAGGGAGATTAATATTGCTGTACTATTAGTATTATTAAATGTATTACAAAATAATTTCTAATCTACAAATTGTTTTAACTTTTAATTGCAAGACCCAGGCAAAGTTTATCAATTAAGTAGTTCAAGTCAACGTGAGGCTGACGCAGACATGTTTTACGCAGACGACTAAATCATTAGAAGTCTTAAAATTGGACAAATATTACACTTTCTAAAATTACGAAATCAACCGTACTCCTTCAACTTTATGTAACTTTTCTATTCTATCCACTAAATACATTCTACTTAACTACCGAATATTAATAAAATAATTTTCAACATCCCAAACAATTTTGAAATTTGTTTCAATAATAGAGAAAATATGTCTGTTTTAGTTACTCAAGTAAACTTCTATTATAAAATACAGACATACTAAATTAGTTTATAATATACGAATAATGTGAAGTCTGATATATCTAAATGTGGTCGATAATGACTTCGTTATTATCACGTCTTTTATGAACAATACAAAAAGAAAGTAAAGAGAGTAGGTGAAACGGAAGATTAGTTTGCTTACCTCCCTAGACGTTGGTGCCCCCAGGACGCAGGGGCTGTCCGGGCGGCGGGGCGCACTGGCCCACCGCTTGCTCGAGAGCTCGCTCTCATCCTGAAACAATAAACGTGACCTGTAATTAGACAAGACGGAGGTAAAGGTGATAGGCGGTCAGGCTTGATGAGCGCTATTATAGCAATCGTAATGACACCCTCGGAAACCAAATTGCCCTTCGCAGAAAATTAGCTAGAGAACAATGGAAAGGAGCCAGAAACCTGAACACTTCATCCCGTTCTACACGAAAATCCGTGAAACGTCTGCTAATCGCGTGCGCGGACTCGCGACCAACCGACCAAGTAATATTTTTAATTCGGTCAACTGCGCTTTAATGGTTTGAAGTGTGAAGCGGTCGTAGAACGAGGAGCTCACGTATCGGTTGATTACATAATGGATCCGGATGATTTACGCCCACTTAAAGGTTGACGATCATCGAACAGTGGTTTTCCATTAAAACACCGCGGGCCAATACGCACGGTGGATAGTAATAAGCGAATCTCCGTTAGGTAGATCGATATTCCATCGCGTTTATTCACACATAAATTTCCCGGTTTCATCGTCCGATTCCCGATAAGCATAGCATAAAAACTGCAGCGTGTATTCCGTCTCGTTTTACGACCACCGATACTTGGCATTTTTTCTCCTTTCCCCTACGCGAGGAGCGTCCTGGTCGTCGCCTCGAAGTCAACGCGCTGTGTGGCCGTAGGTAGGTACGCTTTCGCAAGAAGCGCGAGGAAGAGACGGGTAAACGCGCGATTTTCCGGCGGCGCCGACGCGAATCGATGCGGACAGAATTGCGATTCCGCGACACGATCGTGCTCGCACGGCCGCGGCGGGAAACAGCAGGGGCGCTCTTCTAATGGATCAATTACGCCAGTCATTTGGAGCGAAACGGAAGAAAGGATCGTCGCCGGGAAACGGTAGTCTCGCCGCGCCGGTGGAATAATTAAGATCGCATCTCGACGCGGTGTCAACCATAAATCTTTCCTATGCGACGAGCTCAGTTAGCGATAGAAATGTAAATTTCGATAGTTTCAAAATTTCTATTTTATTCTAAGTAGCAATTTGTAACATTTGCTAAATTATGTATGTATAACACATTGAAGAATTTATATCCAGAAATGAAATATAACAAATCGTTTGATAGAATATTTGATTTTCTCACGTTTTTCCAAGTTGCATGCAACTAATGACTGGAAATAATGAAATCTGTACTGATGGATGTTGAATATATAATATAGGAATACTTTCACCCTTATGATTAACGTTAATATTTTAGATAAATAAGAAATCCAACGCCGAACGTATTTCCTGGTAATACTTAAAAAGGCATTTAGTTCTAAGAAAAATAAAATCAGCAATCTTCGGCTTCTTACATATATAAATTTATCGAAGAAAAGAGAGAGAGAGAGAGAGAGAGAAGAACGTCTGGGATCAGATTCTCTTATATTCACTATGCTATACTAATTGACACTTCCCGTCGTTCGAATTTTCTAAAAGACACATTACTTTCTCCACTTATGTACGCTTCCCCCCCGATCAAAACGGTTCGAGCTGAACACTCTTCACATTCGTGACGTGCAAATCTCAAGAACTTACGTAAACGGTATCTAAAAGCTTGTAACGCGTCAATAAAAATGTCTTCGCGCTTCGAATAGGTAGACTAATAAAGCCGTTTCGTTCAAAGAGAGAATCAAACGTTTACGTATCGAACATTAACATTACACGACTCAACAAGCGTGAAACCGTAGAATATTATCAAATCGTTGCACAATCGTGCAATAAAATTTGGTGAAGCAGGTTGAATTTCCTGTACGCAACGCACCTTCGGCGTCCGCTAATTAACCCCTTGAACGACAATTTATTTTCAGTCAGCACTTGAAAAAGAGGAAAGTTTATGACGAGCTGGACTCGTCATTTCCGTTCAAAGGGTTAATAAGTCTTATCTAGAATTCGAGGCGTCGAATTTACGATCGTACTCGACTGATTAAAAACCCCGTCTAGCTATCATGAAATTAAAAAAAGCGAAACCGTAGCAAGATGGGAGTAAAGTATTTACGCATCTCACGCGTTCGTTAGGTTTATTTACATTCTGGCAACTCGGCGTGTTATTATCCTCTCATTATCATTACATATTGCATTATTACGTAGTGATTGCACCAGGCGCCGATCTTGAGTTTACTTTCTACCAGGTTTCTCTTATTTTCTGTAATACGGCGAGATTGCGATTGAAATTGAATAGGTTTCTTTGGACACGGCCGGCGAGCATTAACTACCCCAAATATAGGCGTGTTCACTCGTCCAAGCGCACCGATTACGTTAGCATATTTCGAGAACATCCCAATGATTGCCTAAGCGAATCTCCACATTTCCGTGTTAGAAATCAATAAAACAATTTTGCCTCACGCGAATCACGCTGATTATCTTATTATGACCGCGTCAAATGAAGCACGTGCATGGCTACTCTAATCATTGAAATTTTTCAACCAGTATTAATACCATGGAAGCGAAAGACAAACGCCAATGCGTCGTCAAATCGAGTCAGACACCAACGAAATTGAATGGTACCTATGAAACTTATGCAAGCAGACGTGACTAAATATAAACGAGCTGCAAGAGCAAAATAATTCCTCAAAATGAGAAAAGGAGAAACTTAAAGTGCCTGAATTGGTTGATGAAATGTGACACAGGATATTTTTAAGCGACAAGAGAATTTTAAAGGACAAACTCTTATTAAG